AAAAAAGAAGAAGAAGAAGAGTGATTGAAAGAATTATGATGTGGGAATGGAGAGTTCCAGGACAGTGTTAAGCCATGAGACGCCCAGTGGTGTAGATTGTGGTGCGCTCTGAGAATAAGCGGTTCTCCTTGTGCGGACGTCTGCTGGAGAGAGAAGGTCCTTGTTCTTATCCTGAGCCTGGAGTGAAGGGATCTTGTCCTTCTGCACCATGTTTTTCTAGGAGTGATTATTTCCCGTGAGGCAGGTAGCCCCCGCTGTGCAGGTCCAGGTCTGGCCTTGGCTCCCTGGCCTCGCGCCTTCTGTTTAGGTGCTGCACCAACAACTGGCGCTTCTCTGGCCTGTCGGCATCACTGCTGGCCCGCCCGGCGTACTGCTCGGGGAGAGAGGTTCTCAGTTGCCGACTGTGCTTCTAGTGTTTTACTCATGACTTCTAGAACACTCTGCATGTTTTTTTTTCTTTTTCTTTCTTTCTTTTTTTTTTTTTAGTACTGGAGCCCAAACCTGTGGCCTTGAACATGTTATGTGATGTTGCTCTTCCACTGAGCTCCCCTCCCCAGGTCCCTCTCCTTCATTAGTGCTTAAAACTTTTGCAAAAACTGCAGATTCTGTAAACCTACTTCCTGGCCTTTTAGAGATATTGGGCGCTTAATTGTTTATTTGCTTAACTGGGGCAACATTAAAATATAAACTGAAGGGCCAGTTCAAAGGTATAAGAAAAGGGTATTGGAAAAAAACACTCAAAAGGGCTAGTAGCTAAGGAAGCGAAATCCTGGGTTCTGACCACAGATCAGACCTGCCAAAATGAACATACTCGAAGCCATCAAGGCAATAAAATACATGTCCTTCTTTGGAGACTCAGGTGGAGAGGAGGTGATGGGCGGCTCCAGGCAGAGGCGCTGCGTGCCACCCTGCTGCGCTCCTGCGAGAGAGCTGCCCCGGGCGCCTGGGCCTGTGACTGTCTGGGAGTTTAGTCATTAGGGTTGTGAGTTCTCTTTCAGACTGGGAAGCCTCAGCTATGAGGAACGAACTTCCTTTTAAAATTTTTTGTGACACTTTGATCAGAATCTAGGTAGGGCCTCCCACATACTAAGCAAGTGCTTTACCACTGAGCCCTTTTTATTTTGTTTTTGAGAAAGGTTCTTCCTGAGTTGCTCAGGCTGGCCTTGAACTTGTGATTCTCCTGCTTCAGCCTCCTGAGGAGCTGAGATTACAGATGCCACCATGCCCTGCTAATTAACATCCCAGGTAGATTCTCTTTTAGGTGAATACTCTGGAAATTTTAGTTGAAGATAATTGGCTAAACTAATGCTGAAATCTGTCTGCATGCTGCAGTTCTCTGCAGTTTTCTGGCACTTGACTTTTTCCTGTTCCTGCGGCCTAGCAAGCCACCTGCCTGGCTGCCTAAGGTGGAAGTCCGTGTGCCAGTGGTAAAGCCGTAGTGCAGGGTCCGTTCAGTCAAGGTGATCCATTGGACTCAAGGTTGTCGGCCTTTTTCAGGTAGCTGGGGTAGGACTGGCATTAGGTGGTCCCAGGTTTTTCTCCCAAAAGACCGCTTGGCTTTTACCAGGGTAAAAGAGTGACTGAAGTTTAAGCTGATTGTGCTCAGGGTGACTCCAGCCCTGGGAGAACTGGGCGCTTAATTGTTTATTTGCTTAACTGGGGCAACATTAAAATATAAACTGAAAATATAAACTCTGTGAAAGCTGTGACCTCTTGCCTCTGTTGCTTGCCCTCTGCTCCCCTTTGCTCTTGGACAAGGGGCTTTGGTGACACGCTTGCTTGTGCTTCCCTCAGGTGAAACAGTGTCACTTGTGGATGTGGACATTTCTCAGCGGGGGTTGAGCTCCCCACACCCTCCAACTCCCCCTCCTCCTCCGAGAAGAAGCCTCAGCCTCCTAGGTACCACATCCTCCCCTCTGCTGTGCTGCCCCAGCGGGAGGGGGCGCTCTGGGTGCTTGCTCTTTGCCAGGAGACTACCTGGCAGTCTTTGGGGTTTCCAGTGGTGGTGACTGGTTCTTTTCTGTCCCAAGTGTTGAAGGGGGCTCTTGCCTGCATGCTGCAGCACTTCCATTTGTTAGCTAGCCTTCCACCCCCTTACCCTGGGTCTGTTGCTGTGGGCTGCCTAGGATGCCTTCACTCCTGCTTCTGGACAAGCCCTGGAGCTAGATGGCTGACTGTTGCCTCTGGGTGAGAAGACAGCGGAGGCCAGGCCTGCCCAGAGGACAGCCTGAAGTGAGGCCCCCTCCCGCTGCCTGCATCTGAACATTTGCTTTTGTTCTTTTTTCTAGATGATATCAGTGGGACGCTGCCTACATCTGTCCTTGTGGCTCCGATGGGGTCCTCCCTGCAGTCTTTTCCCCTTCCTCCACCTCCTCCGCCCCATGCCCCAGGTTAGCTTAGCTTAGAGGTGAGACTTGGAGAGTCAGGGCTGGGAGAAATCTGCTGTCAGATTACAGTCCTGGGAGCTTACATCTCTGCCTTTGGCCGGACCAGAACTCCTTGAAAGGAGACGGAGAACTGTTTTTTTCTGACCCTTTTTTCTTACGGTGGGAAGTGATTTTTCTTACGAATAAAAGACCATTGAATTTTTCATCTGGCTGCTGAGACTGGACTGCCAATCTCTGAATTAGACTTTGCTTAATAAACCACTTTAAAAAAAAAGAAAAGAAACCACCTTAATGCCAGGGTAGTGAAAAGGTTTTCAGTGTCGCTGGGCTCAGAGTCTTGTGGTTTATTTGCTGCAGCCTTTTAAGTATGCACCAAGCACTTAAGTAGCTCGTGCCTGCTTTGCCAGCCTCCAGTACTGAAGGAGTAAAATGAGTGACATCTGCATTTTTTTCTATTTGCCTGGCAAAGTCCCTACTCTTCCTGGGCAAGTAAGCGAGTCACTATTTCCAAGGCTGCCTTACCGGCGCTGCACTTCGAGGTGAGAGAAGTTGGCATCGCTCTAGGCTGGTGAAGGCCCGCAGTGGTCACCTTAGTCAGGTTAGTGAGCAGCCGCGCTCTGCGTGGAGCCCGCCATCCTCACAGCTCACACGGCTTTTACGTCACGGCGCACACACGGCCACGCAGCTTCGTTCCAGCCCATCCAGCCCCCCCCCCGGCTTTGGCTTTCACCTCTTCAGCTTAGCTTCTAATGCCTTGCCCTCTTCAGTTAGCATCTCTCTTGGGGGGCTGGTGTGCCTGGGGTGGGAGCAGTGAGGGCCAACAGGTGACCCCGCTGTCTTGGCCTATAGATGCGTTTCCCCGGATTGCTCCACTCCGTGCCCCCGAGTCCTTGCACAGCCAGCCACAGCAGCACCTGCAGTGTCCCCTCTACCGGCCCGACTCGAGCAGCTTCGCAGCCAGCCTCCGCGAGCTGGAGAAGGTAGGCGCTGCGCCAGGCCACCAAGACTCTTCTTTAAAAAAAAAAAAAAAAAAAAAATCACATTGATAACAGTTTTATTTATTTATTTATTTATTTATTTTTATTTTGCGGAGCCGGGGATTGAACTCAGGCCCTTGTGCTTGCCATGCAGTTACTTATTCTATTGAGCCATCTCCCTGGCCCCGCCAGGACTGTTCTTGGACGAGAGCAGATTTCCTGACCTCTGTATTTGCAGTGACTGGTCAGTGCCATCAGAGACTTGATGAAGTGGAGTACAGGGGAAGTGTACACAGTGAAGGAAGGCCGATAACAGTAGCGCAGCTCACGCAGTCCCTCCTCTGTTCTTCGTAAGGCCTTGGTCATGGAGTTGTACAAGTAGTCTCTGTTACAGCGAGGGACGAATAGTAAGTGCAGTGAGCCTGGTGTTCACTGCTCATGGTAGAGACCCTGGAAGTGGCTTTTCCCTCTATGTCTACTACCTACCTGTCTATCTATCTATACTGGTAATCAAACAAAGGACCTTGTGCTTGCTAGGCATGTGCTGAGCCACTGAGCTATCTCCCTCACTCACCTGTGCAGATCTTGTGAAGAATGGTATAGTGTCTACCCCTATATGATGGGCTGTGCCAAAAACCTTGCCATTTCTCTGCTCTCTTAATGACTTGACTGTTTCCCGTCTCTGACAGTGTGGTTGGTATTGGGGACCAATGAATTGGGAAGACGCAGAGATGAAGCTGAAAGGGAAGCCAGATGGTTCTTTCCTGGTGCGAGACAGCTCTGACCCGCGCTACATCCTGAGCCTCAGTTTCCGGTCCCAGGGGATCACCCACCACACTAGGATGGAGCACTACCGAGGTGAGAGCCCAGGCTGCAGGAGGCTTCTGCCCTTGCCCTCCTCTGTCTCTGCCTGGGAGGATTTAGAGGAGACCTAGCACGGGGAACATCTCATGGACTCGCTGACTGGAAGGAGAGCGAAGGGGAGGGAGCAAGGGCCGCAGTCAGGTCTCCGCTGCCTCTTGTCTCCTGAGTGTGGGGAACAGAATCATCAGAGGCTCTGGGTGCAGGACCCGTTCAGCTCTCCTGAGCTTTGTTCCAGATAAAACTTAGCAGGGCTGGGAGGGTGTGGCTCAGTGGTAGGCCCTTGCCTTGTAGCACAAGGCCCTGGGTTCAATCCCAGCACCACAAAAACATGCAACAGATTAAATTTAGCATTCAGGGATCCTGTGATCATTGTGAGTCTCGTTGCTGGTCCAAGCAGTGTGCAGTGACAGTTTCCTCCCCCGTTGATCAGGTCTGGAGTCTGAAGAAACAGTCATCTGAACGCTGTGAGTCTGTGGAATTGGTGCTTAAGACCCCTGCTGTCCTAGCATGTCCACTTCATTTGTAGTGTCCTGTGTCCCAGTCATGTTGAGAAGCTGTCTTGTTGAGCACAGCTCTCTGGCTTTATTTTGCACTGGGCCGTTCGGATTTGACTTGGGCCAGAAACTTCTGATGGTCTTTGGTGATAGAGCTGGAAATCCCTGATGGTCTTTGGTGATAGAGCTGGAAATCCCTGATGGACTTTGGTGATAGAGCTGGAAATCCCTGATGGACTTTGGTGATAGAGCTAGAAATCCCTGATGGACTTTGGTGATAGAGTTGGAAATCCATCTTTTGTCGGGACCTCTATATAAAGTAGCAGAAACAAAGCCTGGAGGATGTGGGGTCGTTTCAGAGCTCCCCCTCCCGTCCTCAGTCTCCCCTGTACATCTCACCTCACACAGCCCTGCCCCTCCAAGTGCCTCTGAGGCACTGAAGCACCTTCTCTGCCTCAGCTTCTTTTCTTTGGACTGACTCTTGTGAGACAGGAAGTAGCTGTAAGTCAGCAAAGCTGTGGCTGTGGTTTTTTGAGTCCCACTTAGAAAAGGAGCTTGAGTAGCTGGGGAGGTAGCTCGGTGGTCTAAGTGCCTGCCTGGCAAGTGCAAGGATCCAGGTTTGGTCCCCAGTACCACATGCCATGTTGGCCCTGGAACCCAAGGTGCACTGTGCTGGCCACTGAGACTGGGCATGGTGGTGCACGCCTGTAATCCCAGCACTGGGGAGGCTGAGACAGGAGGGTCACTACAAGTCCTTCGGTACATAGCAAGACCTTGTTCCAAATAAATATAAGATTAAATAAAAAGTGTACAGAGATCTGAGAATGAGTTAGATAACTTGGAGGGGGGCTGCCTGATTTCCTGCAGTTCCTAAAATCCAGAATTAAATAGACAAACATCAAAATGCAAAACAAAACATTTGCAAGTGAAAAATTTTGTCAAACCTGTGCAGATGATAAGTGACTGGGCCATGCGAACATGGACAAATGTGTGACCTTGAAACTGCTAATAGGCGAGCTGCCCAGAGGCACTCGTGGTTACTGTTACTCAAAGCGACTTCCTCCTTGAATGAGTGGAGATTGCACTAGAAGCCTTGAGCGCTTCCAGCGTCCAATTTGCACCGAGTACTTCTCTTGTTATTTATTTAAAATTAAAAATTTAATTTTACAAATGACAAGCCTGGGAGGAAGGAAATCATGAGACAGTAGGCCACCATGTGGGTGGATCTAGAAAGCCTCCGGGCGAAGGAGACTGGACTCTTGAGTTCCCAGCAGATTCCTGGATTGGCTGTAGAGGGAGGCTGTCCTGAAAAATGTGGCAGCTCCACAGCACCTCTGAGGGACAACTGCCCATCGTTCCGTCCCAGGAGTCCCTCTCAGGGACCCTTCTGGCTCCAGAGCCCCGCCGCACACCCTGATCTGTGCTTTCTCCTGGAAACCTTCCCCCTCAGGCTCAGCATCTGACTCCTCGCTCGGGGACTCACCGTACCAGTCTTGCACCCCTGCGCCAGGAGCAGCCACTCGTGCTTGCACATGGCCACACTGGACACAGGCTGCCTTTGGGCGTCTCTCGCACGCTCAGGCCTGAGGCTCAGATCACAGCGCTGTCTCTGTGCCTTGGGGTGCCTCACCTTGGGAGACAGCCGTCCAGCTCCTGCTGCAGAAGGCCTGGTGGCGCGGCGCGGCGCGGCGCAGCACTTCTCAGGGTAGACTTTCTCCTCTGAGAGAGCACTTGAACTGCTGACCTGGCCTCTCTTTATAAATGATACCTAAGCTAGCACTTCAGGAGTAGCCGGGGAGACTCAGATCTGTAGTTCTTTCTTTTTTCTTGTATGTAGGACAGGGTCTACAGGCTCTAGAGGGTCTAGCGGACTCCTAGTGATTATCCTGTTCAGCCTCCCAGGTGCTGGGGGGACAGGTGTGAGCCGCCCTGTCCCGTCTGTCTCCTGCACTGTGGGCAGCCCTCATCTGCAGTTCTTCTTTGTATTGTCATTGTTTGTAATTATTTTGGAATGTAATGCTTTTTTTTTTTTTTTTTTTTTTTAAGTCAGGGCTGTTCAAGATTCCCTTTTGCCTTTGAGATTATCAGGGTTTTGTTTTTTGTTTTTGTTTTATGTATTTAGTACAGGGTCTCATGCAACTGGGACTCATAGTGATCCTCCTGTTTTCAGCTTCCCCAGAGCTGGGATTACACGTGTGTGCCACCATGCCTGGTCTCAGCGGCCAGCTCACTGTGCCCAGGGGGCAGGTCTGGTGTAACTTGTAGTGTTGGGGAATCCATCTCTGGTCCCTTTTTTCTTTTTCTTTTCTTTTTTTGAGACAGTGTTGTACTTGCACTATGCAGTTTGGGCTGGCCTTGCGCTCACTTTTGTAGCCCAGAGGCTTGTCTCAAACTCACAGCAATCCTCTTGTCTCAAATTCTAAGTGCTGGGATTATAGGCATGTGCCACCATGCCTGGTTGAAACTCAGGTTTGAGGTAGGAACTTTGTAAGGGGCCTTAGAAGCTAAGGACAGATTGATTTTCTGTGCCTGACACGCTGGATGAGATCCACCACACTGCTGGCCAGCTTTGTCCTCACCTGTTCTGCGGACACTGGGAACCTTGAGTCTTGCTGTGGCGTCGTGATACACACTTGGCTGTGGTGGTCATTCTCCCCTTCTTTATACTGGGTCTGTATGTACACGAGGGAAAGTGTCATTAGTGATGAGTGTTCATACTTGAGTCTTTTTATATTTTTTCTGACTTAAATTTATTATTTAATAAAAATATTCTTTTGGAACTGGAATCAAACTTAGGACTTTTGGGAGCTGGGGAGATGGCTTGGTAGTCTAAGCACCTCCCTAGCAATCACAGAGACCCCAGTTCAATTCCTGGTAGCATGTGCTATACCAGCCCCAGAACCCCAGGCCACCGAGGCCAGGTATGGTGCTGTACCCCTGTTATCCCAGTGCTGGGAAGGCTAAGAAAGGAGGGTCATTGCAAATCTGAGCTGTATAGCGAGACCCTGTACCAAATAAATAAATAAGCAAATAAATGTTTTTTTTAAAAAAAACCAACAGCTGGCCAGATAGTTCAGCAGACTAAAGTGCCTGCTTAAGGCAGGCACAGTGACCAGGGTTCAATCCCCCCCATGCTGTGCTGGCCCCGCCTCTGGGATGTGCTGAGCCAGTGATTGAGACAGGGCACAGGGCGTGGTGGCGCCTGCCTGTAATCCTAGCACTTGAGAGGCTGAAAACAAGATTACTATGATCCCGATCTGTGTAGTGAGACCCTAAACTAAAATACATTTTTAAAAAAAATTCAGAACTTTACCCAGGCGCCATGCCGTTGAACTATCTCCCTGGCCCTGGGTGGTTCTTTTTCTTGAGACAGGGTCTTGCTATGCAGCCAAGGCAGGCCTTGAACTAATGTTGTCCCTCTGCCTCACCCTCCCGAGTGCAGATTACAGGCATGTGCCACCATGCACGGTTTTCTTTTTGGTGTTTGCTTTTTGTTTGTTTTGTTTTTTAATTTTAGGGAAGGGTCTACAGAGTGTTCAGGGTCTCAGTACTAGATCAGACTTGTAGTGATCCACCTGTTTACAGCCTCCCAAGAGCTGGGATTACAGGCACACGCCTCCATGCCCAATCTCAATTGTGTCTCAGCATGCCCCAGGGGCGGGGCTGGCACGGCAGGCCTGGGGATTGAACTCCTGGCCCCTGCACCTGCTTGCAGGTGCTTTAGTCCGCTGAGATATTTGGCTGGCCCCCTAAGAATATTTTAAGACCTAATTTATGTCTTATTAAATTGAAGTGATGTTTCTTCCCATTGATTGTGGAATAAGCAGGACCAGGTGGCTTTGGTACCTTGGACCTGGAGTGCCCGCCCGCAAATAGCTCTGTCCAGAGTCATTATCCACTTGGTGAGCACGACGGTAGAGAGTTCACGGCTTCCTTTTCCATGGCAGGAACCTTTAGCTTGTGGTGTCATCCCAAATTTGAGGATCGCTGTCAGTCCGTGGTAGAGTTCATCAAGAGAGCCATCATGCACTCCAAGAACGGGAAGTTCCTCTATTTCCTGAGATCCAGGGTTCCAGGTAAGGCTGAGGGTGCTTGGTTATATCACTCGCCTTGGGGTGGGGGTGGGGGGTGGCCCAGTAGAATAAGCCCTTCCCTGGCAAGCACAAGGGCTTGAGTTCAATCCCTGGTTCTGCCCAAAGGAAAAAAAAAAAAAAAAGAAAGAAAGAAATTATGTCACTCGCCTTGGGTGTGATCTAGTGTAGCCCTTCAGCAGAGGCTGTGCTTCCTTGAAGTTCTCTCCTGGCCCTCAGAGCAGCTGTTCTTCCTGCTGAGCCCGGTAGCCAAGCCATGCCCTGCTCTGCCAAGTAAGCCTGCACACGTGGGCACACGTGGATGAGGAAGAAGTGTCTTTGCTTCTGTGGCTGTGTGGATGAGGGGCTCTTGCCACTGACATCCCGGCGAAGCGTGAACAGTGCTGCTCTGTGGTGTGTCGGTGTGACTGGGGTGGCAACTTGAGGCCACGTGTGGGACAGAACAGTGAGTGCTTGTAGGCCACTGCTCGGGCACAGGGAAAGCAGCGCTTGGCTGCAGGAAGCGGTGTGAGTGTGCGGCTGGACTCGCGCGGAGCTGCTGGCGGGCTGTGCTGCGGCTCTGCCCAAGGTGGGCTCCTTTATGTCAGAGGGGAGATCTGTTTCTCCTTCATCCCAGCTCATTTGTCCACGCAGGCTTCTCTCCCCTGGATGCCCTGGTGCCAAGCCGGCCGTGTCTGCCTGCTCAGGGAGGTGTCTGGGTCACTTCTGGGCAGAGGACCTGTTTTTATATCACTGCAGAAAACACAGTGACATGTGCACGAGTACGAGGAACTTGGAGGGCACGAGCAGAACCTGAGCTGAGCTGAGAACTCTGGGCTTTTTCCTGGTTCCAGTTCTTACTTAGGCAGATGCCAGGTCTTCCTCACAAAACAGAAGCGGCAGCCGGGATACCTCAGGCACAGGACTCCCAGGTGACAGCGATGTCCCATGTCCCATCACAGCCTAACAGGATGTGAACTGCTCTCGTTCACACTTCAGCTGTCCTCACCTCAGCACCATCAACCCAGTCAGGTCTGGGAGGTTGATTGTAGGAAGTGACTCTGCCTGGCAATTTTTTCAAGTTTGTGGCTTTGTGGGGATATTTGTTTAATAAACGTGTAATTTGTAATTTAGTATAAGATGCTGACCACGTCACGGCCCTTGACCTTGCTCATCGTCTCACAGAGGGCCAGCTGGAAGAACAAGGGCAAGAGCTCTTCTCAGCGCTCTCCCCAGCATGGCAGTGACAGAAAGGGCAGAGCCAGCCTTGCTTGGGCACAAACCAGGCAGCGGGCACAGAGGACTCCTGGACTCAGCATTGTTCTGCTTGCAGAGACGGGATGCTGGGACTCTGCATTTGTTGTATAGATGTGCCCCATGCTCGGAACTGAGTCCTCGTTGCCACCCTGAGCTACCCAGGCCTTTTTATACTGTTTAGAGACAGGGTCTTCCTAAGTTGCTAAGCAGGGCTGGGGAGATGGCTCAGTGGAATAAG